TTGAGATCGGCCTGAATGGGCAAAACTTAATATAAAATGAACCAACGATCAGGGTTTTGCCTAAAAATGAACTGCCTACCATAGACCCCATCATTACCGATTGCGAGATTCATGTTCCACAATAGTCCTGAGGAAGGCTACGAGGAAGTAGTATGAGGTCCATTCAAATGCCGCGCGAATTTGACGCCTACCGCGCGCGGCAATTGGAACGAGCCGCGCATTGCTGTGGGCATGTGGCGCGACGCTAGAGAAAAAATTGCGAAGAATTAATGCTCAGCGGAAAAATTGTGGATTTAAATCGGGAGGATACGGTATTAGCCACGGAACCGCTGGCGCCTGCAGTGGGAATTCGGAGGGAGGTACCGTCACCCTGTGCACGGGAGTACCACCATCCGACACCCGTTGGTTCCCTGGCTAGAAGTGAATGCAGTGCTAGTTCAATCCAGCGGCAAATATAGGTTTTCTCGATTTGCATGAGTGGCATAGGGGGTAGAGGGTATCTAAAGAAATTAATTCACTAACATTTCTCGAGAAGTCAAAGTCGTCCATTTCCGTTGGTTTTTTCTTGTTCAGTACCACTAGGAACGGTTTTCTGGAAGTACCTCTATGAAGCTGTACCTAAAAACATTGATTTTGATCTTTGTCCATAATATTCATGTTTTTCGGGAGCCGTCATATAAAAAAGATGAGAAAGTCAAAAAAAAAACCCCAAGAAATTCCATTGGGCAGTGGAAAAAAATATAAAAACCGAGGTAAGAAATATAAAGAACTGCTTGAGTACGAGCCCTGTGGTGAATTTTCATTGGCACATACCTTACGTATCGTCTCGTAATTCTCATCAAGACGATTTTCATCCGAAATGTCAGCAACGTAAATAATTCCATGGACCTGAAAGTAATTTTACAACACATAAGAACTTTTTCCACCTGGTTCAGGAGGAAGACTGTTTAGCTACTGTATTCGCTATTTCCGTACAGGACCTTGTCTAGGCCAAAGTAATTTTCTATTTGTCAAGTGCCAGGCAAATGTTGTTCGGAGAAAACCTGGACATCAGAAATAATTTATTTTTCGGCTAAATTTTCATAATCCTCAATCTTAGCCATAGCCAGGTGTTGACCTACCAAAAAGGTAGATGAATAACATTCCCGCAGTTACTGGGCCAGGAGAGCGCGCCGCTTTTCGGTCAACCATTCGGAATCGCGGAAGCATTGAGACCGTGACAAAGGTTGAGACTTCCTGATCCTAAGAAAACTTTAGGCCTTGTCAGCTTTCCCAGGCTCCG